CTCTAGTGGGATTCGAACTCTAGACCTGCCGCTTGGGGGGTGACAACTTAACCACTACTCTAAGTCGCCACACCCTTTATGAAAACCTCACTAAATGCATATCTTTCTTGAGCCCAACTAATATAACATATATAGATTTTTACCTTCCTAAATGCATAACCTCTTTAAATACATATTTTCTCAATTTTTTACTATGATCTTGACATCATGCATTTAGAGAGGGTTAACTGTAATTCAAATAGATTCGCATTTTTCAAATTAATTTCAATTATTTTATAAATATTTTTTTAATACTGTTTAGTCAAGTTTTAAATTTTGCATATTGTGAATTAATTTGAATTAGTTTGAATCGCATCAAAATATTTTGTAATAAATTACGTAATATTTTGTAATATATTTTGTAATATTTCATAATTAAAAATTTCGAAATATTCCACATTGATCGTAATTATTGTGAAATTTTTCAGAGCATAATTACTTTCGTAAGATTACGTTTATATATTTTGCTGATGTAAAATCGATATCCAAATTTGGTAAAATTCCTAACTATACTAAAAAGACTACAACTCTGTAACAATATCAAGATGACAAACATATTAAGATATATATGCCTCAAATATAACAATCTAATTAAACAATACTTTATAACTATTATTAAATACTAACCTTCCTATATTATTCTGGTAGATAAAGTTTTTTCATTAATTTTTCATTTCAATATACAGTATTAGTATATAATTTTTACAAACATAGTATAAACTTATAAATACAGTCAACTCTTTCTATATCGAATCCTAGATTCTGGCCAAAAAAAAAGTTCGTTATATAGAATTACTATATTTTCTTAAGAGCTGCAGCTCTTGTTATACCAAACTAATACAGTTGACCCTCTCCAAACCGATCCTGTCAAAATCGATAACCTGCTATAATCGGTTAAGAATGATCCACCATGCCTGTTCTATAATTAAAACCCGATAACCTGCAATTTCTGATATCCGATAGTCTTTATATCTAAGTTTCTGATTTGCCGAATAATTCACGTGACATTTATCCAATAAAATCGCATAAAATTTATTGCCCTTCACACAAGTGTTTCGTCAAACAGATCTGGAACTTAGTAGGTTTTTGCAAAGGATATTCGAACTAAAACTGTACATATGATTAATATGAAAATATGCCACCGGCAACAAGCTTCACTTGTCTCTTATATGTACCCGTAGCCAGTAGCAGTCTTTCAAACTTGCTGCATAAACCAGATCTGAACAATTTTGGAGGAAATGCTACTGGCGATAGAAGCATGTGAAATACAAATGATTTTTCTTTGTGAAATGCTAAATTTATACCCATCAAAATACCAGATCTTTTTCTGTAAACACTATATAAAAAACCTCTCTAAAAATCGAAAGCATATACGTATGTATTTCAGTTTTTTTCTTTACCTTTCTTGTACTGTACCCGGGATCTGCTAGAGGTTTTAAATTTGGTAGAACCAGACCCGGGTATTGTATATAGCTATTTACAGTATATACATACAGTATTGTATTACAGTGTTCAGTATTGTATTACAGATTATTAATTTAAATCACGTTTTGCTCTTTTATATTTATACCCACTCAGGTAAGTGACTGGCATTTATTTAATATTTTCCACTATGTACGTACGATATAAAATTATAATTTTTTTTGTTACATTAAGAAATCTTACCTGTTTGTTTCATTTCCTAATGCTATATTTATTGTTCAGACCCTTGAAAGAACTGATCCAGTGTAGATTGAACCTGTTTCTCGGTCTCTTCCTTTCGAACTTCCTCACAAATAATCGATTGAAGCTTACGCAAAGACTTCATTGTGACCCCACCATCATCGATTCTTTCATCAACAATTCTCAGAGCATTGCGCAGAATTTCCAACTGCTCCTTTCTGGTTAAGGGTTGTATCATGATCTCATTTTCTACATGTTCTATTTCTATAGCACCTTGAATAAGATCATCATCATTAAACTGTTGATGTATGTCTATTTTCTCTTTCTCAAAATCTAACAAATCTTCAATTGACATTGGATTATGAATGTGCAACATATCTAGTGTTTGCTGAAGCTTCTCAGCAGCCAATTCATTATCTGGATCAACGAATGGGCTTTCTTCTACGTCTTCAACAAGAGGAGACGAGACAATTGGTGTTCCGTCTTCATTACGAAGTAATATAATTTTTGTGTAAAAACAGCAATTCTTGATTATTGTAGCGGAAATTTCATTCCAGGCAACCTTTACTCATTTCATAGCTTGTAATTGATCAACTTTATATATATCACTTTCCCCAGCTTCGTCACGATCAATTGCACATTGAAGTTGCATACGACAATAATGAAGCTTAAATGATGCGATAATACCAGCATCCATAGGCTGTATCTTTAATATTATATATGGAGGTAATTTGAGCACTTCTATATTAGAAAGAGTAAGAGTAGTAGTGGCATGTGAAGAAGACCGTTTAGGATGAGTAAAACATGACGATTCGATTGCTTCATTTCTTTGTTAAATTTTTCTATCCACTCCTGAAAATAACGATTAGCAAAATTATCATCTAATTTAATTTAATAATTTTAATTTATTTAATACTATAGCATGCAATAAAAATTTATTTTTATAATAGGTATATTTCAAAAGTATTGGATATAATATTTTACAGGCCTGGCACGAATAATTAACTTAATATTTTTTTCTTTTTAGCTACGCAAAGTTATTTTTTCATTTTGCATAACATGGAATCAGAAAAATTGGGTCGTTTAGTCAGATTATTTTTTTTTTTTAAATTCTATTGTAAATTACTGTAATAGACTCATATCTAAGGCCATCCAAAGTTAATTTTTCATTTTGTATAGCATACAAACCAAAAAATTGTGTCAGCGCAGAGATTTTTTTTCTATTGGTCCTATTGAAGAAGTCCGAGATATCAAGGTCGCTATCGGGTGACATCGGATAAATTGATAGAAAAATTAAATAGCAAAAATGGAATAATTGGCACAATTGTCACAATTGGAACTTTAAAAAAAAAAAAAAAATTTTGAAAAAATGGGTCGGCAGATTATGCAAAACGAAAATTAACTTTGTGTGGCCTTAATATTTTAATGTGTTTTTTTTTTAATAGTGAATACCACTATGTTTACAGTATAGGAACAGAGTGACATAAAAATATCACAAGGTACATGGAATTAACGGGCAATTATTCAATAATTTGTTTAAATCAACTAGTTGCCAACTTGGCTAACTACCAGTAGTTGATTTTGATTCGTACCCTTACCTGAAAAAACATAGCGGTCATCCAGGCTTTTTGATTGTTTCGATAATAGAACCCAAGCTGCTTTCCAGTTTTTTTTTTAAAACACCTAGATTTCTTAGCATGACCGATAATGAAGAGTTGAAGCTTATGTGTGCCATCAGCATTAGAAGTAAGCACAATTGTAAGCCGTATACAATCTTTCTTTGCTTCTTCAATTTGGCGAGATGCAATGGTACGATCAGGAGCCATAGTATAGAACAATCCTGTCTCGTTCATATTATAAATATCACACAGAGAATATTTATTGGTTATACGGATAATATTAGGAAGATTCAGATCGATAGCAGCAAGGTCAGCAGAACCACTCTCACCATGCAGCCTAATGTAATGAAAATTATGTCTCTCTTGAAAAGCTTGTAACCATCCATTTGAGAATTCTGGCTGGTTACTTTCCAGGATTTTCATTAGATCAGCTAATTTTTTGCCCTTTGCCTTAATCATATCTCCATTTAGACATACACCTCGACTTTCACATTGTAAAACCCAGTTCGCCAAAGCAGTATCCAATTCGGGGAACGTAACGGTACGGTGTTTTTTAACTCCAAGGTCACTTTCAGACATTGTATTGAATTCATCTTTCCTTTTCAAGATGTCTGAAATTGTACTTTGACCCAGGGCTTTTAATAGATTGAATTTGGTTTTCGCCCACTCAGCAAGTTCCTTTTGGGTAATGTTGGGATTGGCTTAATGATGGGCACATATCAATTTTCTTTGATCATTGCGCAAATTTTCAGCTAAAACGATTTTATCTTTTTTTTTCCCCATGGTTATAATAGAGTAAAAAATTATTATTTTATAAAGTCAAAAAAAAGGAAGGATATATATATACTTGCCTTCATGAATGCCGTTTGTTCTTATTATTTTTTTACTAAAAGTTTAGCTTCTATAAGCTTGATTTTTTAGAACGACGCCCACACCCATTATTTCAAGATTTTACCGTATGATAATCTAATACATCCTTATTTTTTTTTCTTTGAAGAATATTTGATAAATTTTGATTTTTTTTTTTTTTTTTTCAGAATTCTAACGCCCAAATTTACATATTTAAACTTATTAGGTTTTTTTGTTTTGCTCTTTTTAGACTAACACATCCAGACTAAGTTAGCGATCACATTTTTTGGAATCACAGATTAAAGCCAAGGATCATTCAATATCGATATGCATGTCTTCCGGGGACGTAATTTTACACTTTAGGGTTGGCATTTTACTATGTCCAAGTGTTTTCAATTTCATTGAACATATGAGTGCCGCCAAGAGAAAACCTGTCATCAGGCTTTCAATTCAATGTTCCCGAGTGTCATCTAAGAAAAATCTATCATCAGGCCTTCAATTATATTTTGTGACAACTTGTCACAAAATGTAAATGAAAACCCGATGATTGATAGCCTGATGACAGGTTTTCCCTTGGCGGCACTCATGTGTGAAAACAATAGACCCTGCACACTTTTCTATTTAGTTTATTTTCCCTTGGCGGCACTCATGTGTGAAAACAATTAGACGTAGACCCTGCACACTTTTCTATTTAGTTTATTTTTCTGGTTAGTTTTAAAATTTTCAACATTGATCTTGCCGTATAATATCAGGGAACGTAGTACCAGCTTGGTGCTTTTTTATTCACGATTATATGATCAATTCTGATTTGAACAAGCTACCATCACGATTCCTATAAGAAAAAACTTGTTCGGTCATGGATAATTAATTTGTTGAGCTTTTATCATATGAAGCATCTCTTTATTTTTGTTCTGTAAAATAAGGTTAAGGCTGAACCACATGACACGTATACCACCCGGAGATATTCTTGAATTTAATCATTTGGCGTTCTGTCTGATTATGCATGAAGGTTCTTTTATTGTATGAATTGTTTTTTTTTTTTTTTGTGGATTTCCGATTTGGCCGTATATAATGAACTGCTGAATAGAGCAATTTATGGGACTGTATTACCATAGAATTAACAAACAATTTAAATGTAGACTCTTTAATAAACCAAAATATATATACGAATGCTGTAAAACCAAAATTCGGGAACAGCTAACAAATAAATTTTGCTCTAAATACTAAAAATTTACTGGTAAGATTGCAGCTTACTTAAGTAAAAATTTACAGAATGGATTGCGTGAGATGTTGACATCATCTTCGCGCGAAATAAATTTTAATGATAACTAGTTTGTAAATTTATTATTGCAATGAGATGCCGTGAACGAAGTTCACGAAGCATTCATTTGTCACGAGATCATACAGTCATGATGTTAATTGAACGATTAGTAATGGTCATAGTATGATCGGTTTGATATCAAAAAAACATAAGCGAGAACAGTGAAATAAGCAAAAGGATAAATAACACGATTCCTAGGGAATGAGCTGTAGACCACATAAGCAGCAAGGCGATATCAAATTAAGTAATTTCATCTTGTATAAGATCCTCGCGCGAAGTTATATGATATGCAAAATATGTGCTATGTTTGTCATGCTAATTCTAATACTGAATGAAATCCTGCAATATTATTGGTTGGCGCGTGCCGATTTTTCACGTGATATTATCAAATCTGATAACCTCCCAAATCCGATACAAAACCTGTCCACTATGAGTATCGGTTTGGGGAGGGTCAACTGTATTAAATTTTAAAAATTTTGAGTTCGTTATATCCAGAGTTCGTTATCAAAAGGTTCGTTATCAAAAGGTTCGTTATATCCAGAGTTGACTGTATAACATTAAAATAAACAAATTTCCGTTTTCTTTTTTTGCTTTATTTATTTATTTTTTTGCTTGTATATTTTATCATCATGCTTCTCTATATCTTTATATATATATTTTTTTTATATTTTTAATCGACTGGCAAAATTTTTGGTAGATCTATTGCAGAATTGGACCAATCAGAATCACAGACGATCTGCTACGCGACAATAAAACGCTGTTTCGCGTATCTATGTTATTAATTAAATAATATGAGTAGTACTCTCCCAGGGTTTTCTTCTGGCAGTGGACGACGTATAAATCCTCTTTCGGAGGAGTCAATTAACCGAGCACGATCCTTTTTCGAAGAAGATCGTAAAGATCCAAATAATCTTCCCGGATTTTCTTTTGGTAATGGACGCTATGTGAATCCAATTTCAGAGGAATCACTTAACAGAGTACGGGGCCTTTTTGATGATGATAAAGATTCCGGAAGTTTGTCTGGATTTTCTTCCGTTAGAACTCCAAAAAATCTTTCTGGATTTTCTTCTGGTAGTGGACGTTACATAGGTTCACTTTCAGAGGACCAACTTAATAAAGCGCGACGTCTTTTTGATGAGAAAGCATCATGTTCAAATTACACACATAAGCCGAATACTCCAAAGAGGACTATCGATAATCATTCTTTGCATGCACCAAAAAAAAGAAAAATACTGCAGCAAAATCAAAATATTATGAACAGTAAAACTTGTTTGTCCGCAGTGAGGCCTATAATTGATTCGTCGAACGCGAATATAAAACTATTTGATCTGACATGTGAGTTTACAATCTTTCTTTACATAATCTTTCAATATGATATAAATCACTTAATTCCATTCTTATATTAGCACCACCAAACAGACATAGACTTCAGGATATTGTACATAATTATCCCCTTAATATCTCTGCAACTAGCTTGAAAAAACTCGGAATGTAAATAAATTTTAATTTTATTCAAAACATATGATATTTAATATACTAAAGTGCAATTAATTTTCCGTAAGACCTTCCGAAATTATTACTATGACGCCCGCTAGTGCCCTTTCGTATCGATTTCTCTTATCTGAGGGTCAGTATTGTGAAAGTACCGAAGTCTTGTCGTCATGGGGCGCAAGTGAAGCATATACTTGTCTTATTGAACGTGGAGCGAATCCAAATCTTATTGACGAGCGTTGGGTATGCAATCATTACCAATGGATTTTGTGGAAAATTGCTGGTATGGTTCGGTCTTTTCCACATAGATTTAATAGTTGGTGGTGTCCCGGTAAAATACTTGAACAACTACGGTATAGGTAAGAAGAGAAGTTTTTTTTTTCTTTTTTTTTTTTGTTTATTTCAATTAGAAGTTCTATATGTGTGGACTGGAGTTGAAGGTGAAACTGGTGACTCTAAATCTGATTGGCTCTTAAATGCAATAGCCAATCAGATTTTAGATAGTCACCAGCTTCACCATCAACTCTAGTGTGGACACTTCTCAGGCTACCACCTTATACGTCGTATAAAATGGGTAAATACCCATTTATTGCAATGCCACCTATTAATCCATGTTCTAACGTCTGCGCACTATATTCAATGTTATAACAAATTTGCCTCATTCAAGATACGAAAGAGAGATTAATTGTGCACACCGTTCTGCGCTCAAATTAATCATAGAAGGAGATGGAAATGCAAGCTGGCCTATGGTTTTATGTGTGTCTAATATATTTGAAGATCCTGACGTTCAAACAACGATTCCGTTAGGTAGGTTAATTTGAAGTTATGCACGTATTACATTAATTCATTGCCATTCACATGGCTTACTGCATTTTTTTTTTTTTTTTTATACTTATATGTATAGAAAAAAAAGCTGAAACATGTCAAATTAAATATGGACTTGAGTTGACAGATACATGGTATAAAATTCGGGCCAGTATTGATCAACCGCTTCAGCGTGCCATTATGAGATCAAAAATACGGATTGGATATAAATTAGAAATATATGGAGCCAAAGTATTTTTACTTCGCAGATATTAATGAACGTCCTTTTAGACCGAATTGAATTATAATATGTCGTTTGTTTCATAGATTGTAGGGGGATCCACTGGATTACCTGCTCTCGATATATCGGGCTCTCCTATTCGATTAGACATTTCTGCAAACTCTACTAAACTTGCACATTGGGATGCAAAATTAGGAGTTGGACGATTTCGTTCGTACGCGTTATTACACAGTCTTTCTCCTGATGGTGGATTTATTCCTGCGATTGATGTAGTAGTTCAACGGAAGTACCCACTACTTTTTCGCGAGACAATGAAGGATGGAACCGTAATTATACGTAATGCAAAGGGTGAAGAACATGCTATGAAGGAACATGAAGTATGTGGATGTGTTTTGGAAATAATGTATATGTATATTCCATAAGATATATGAGTTCCTACGTTAATTACTGTAGGTGAAATTTAGTGCATTGATTGAGTCACTGATAAGTAAATTCGAAAAATCATATGATGATTTTAAAAAAACAAATAGAAAACGATTATCGAAAGAAGGTATGGAATGCTACTAAAAGAATTTATGTAATGCATAGTATGCTTAGTAAAACTTTCTTATCGTTTAGAACTTCAGAGCATTACAGCTGGTGATGAACTTTATGCCCTTATTCAAAATAGTGGTGACATTTCCGAATTTTCCAAAGAATTAAGTTCTTTGCAGATTGAACGACTTCATGAATATATCCAACGGAGAAATGAAGAAAAAGCAGTCAAGATGAGCCAATGGATTTCCGAACAATCTTTGGTAATTTGATTATATCATAGAAAATTATTATTTAATGAGTTTTTAACTATAATTTGCTTCTTGCATTAGTATATAGAAAATAAACGTACCGTTACGGCTTTTTTTAAAATTCGCGTGTGTGATTATCATCCGTATTCATCACCTATTCGTGGACGTGACGCTATAATCACTATTTGGAATCCCGATGAATTTTTGATTAATTATCTACAGGAAGGGCGTCGATACAAGGTGAATATCAAGTTAGTTAAGCGTGTGATATGTTATTCCTTTTAACGGTAACTTTTTTTTATACAAGATATACGCATTAACAGTAGTAAAAAACCAAAGATATCCATTACCGGAATTGTTACCGATACGGTTGATGTCAATTGGAAGGTCAACTATTTGGAAAGAAGCTCCAATAGAATCGAATATTATTACGTCATATATGCCGCGAACTGTTACACCTTGCAGTGAACTTGATAGGATGAAGTACAATGATGAAGTCGACATAGTCGTAACACCTCTGGGTAATATATAAATTATCTGAAATAATGGCATTTATGTCGAACAGTATTATCAACATCATAACTTGTGATTGTATTAGTTGTAGGCGAGCCTTATTTTAGTGACAAATTCGGAAAACAAATCCAATTTCAAAACATTTTGGCACTTGATAGTAGTGAACAGATCGTACAAATAGAAGTTAAAGATTCGATATCAGTCGGTATGGGCAAAATATTGAAGGTATACCATTATACATATAAATGAAATTCTATTTAATTTAATGAACTAGACTAATATCACTTTCTAAACAGCCTAAGAATACTCTCGCTTTTAGCAATTTGCGATACCGTAACTATGACCCGAAGTATGCGGTTTATATTTTATCGTCATGTGATGAAACAGAAATCAAGATGTCACCATGTGAAACGTATTTAAGACAGGCTATGGACGATTTAGAAAATTGGATCACGAGTAATGCTTCGGTTATTTCCAAATACGAAGCAATTGCAATGGAGCTTTGCAAGTCTCCATTTGATAATGACATTCCCTAATTTCTAAATAACGTGAATTAATAAGCATTCGTAAATTAATTACAATCCGTTTTGAAACAAGAATCATGACGTGTATTTGCTATTTGTTATTAAATACTTGATTTATTAGAACTAAAGCCTTGATAGAGAAACATGTAGCTGAATATTTATATTAAATATTTTTCAGATATTAAGACGTGTTTTGTTGTTAATTTATTTACATAGCAGTCAGAGGACATATCCTTTTTCAGGGGTTCCAAATGCTGTTACTTATAAATCAAATGAGTTGACTCACCCAATTT